CGCGGTATCCACAGAGAGCAGGCGCGGGGCAGTAGAGTTGGCGCCGCCCGGCTAGACAAGCCCAGTGGGGTGCGGAGCGGGAGGGGTGGGTCGAAGTCCTCCAGGGAGTCGGAGGGTGAGGGGCTCGGGCGGACACCGCCCCCTTCCCCCTCGGTCCCTCGTGGAATGGGACGGCCCGTCCCCCCCCCACCCCAGGCGGAATGGTCCGGCTCCCTGACAGCGTTCTTCACCGATAGTTTCTTTCACTCTTCCATCTTCTCATTGGACGCGGGTCATTGTCCTCTCGCTTAGTGGTTTCGCCCAAGAGCTCGTTGGTATATTCCGCCTCCCCGTTTCCTGGCGGCCCGGTGGTTTCGCCCGGCTCCGCCTCCGCGCTCCCCGCGCCGGACTACGCCGCTGACGGCGGCCGGCTCGGGACATGCCTCGTAAGAGGCCGTTCAGCGCCAAGCAGAAGAAGAAGCAGCTGCAGGACAAGAGGGACCGGAAGCGGGGTGAGGGGGCCGGGGGGGGCTGCTGGGGCCGGCTAACTGCCCCGCTCCCCCAACATGTGGGCCAGATTGCCCCCCCAACAGCTGAGTTGCTGCCCCGCCCACAACAGCTGGGTTGGCTTCCCCCCAACATCTGGGCCGGGCCTGGTGCGGGTCCTGCCATGAGACTGGCTGCTCTCCAGGGCCCTTTGCTTGTTTCCAGGCCCAAGCATCCTCACCAAAGCACTGGACTGTCAAAGGTGCCTGGAGCGGTTGTTGATGCTTGTGCCTGGGGGCACCAGGAGGCGGCCGGCGGCCGGGAGTGGGGGGTCGGGGGCTCTGCAGGGAGCTGATCCCAGGGCCCCAGTGTGGCCCCAGGCAGGGCTCCCGCTGCCCGGCTGTGTCGTGTCGCCCCGTGTGGATCAGACCCGCTGGTCCTGCCCGAGCAAATCCTAGGGCCGTTGTACTGGGATTATACACAGTGGCTCTCCAGGGCTGGGTCTGGCTCTGCTTGTCCCCATCCCTGATCCAGTCTAACCACCCGTCATTCCTCGGCCACTGCCTGCAGCGATCACCAGCCGGTCTAAAGAAACGTAGACTGGGAAGGGCTGATAAGGGGGCCCCACCTATGTCAGGCTAATCCCTCAACCTCTATTCAACCCCTAAATGCCCCTGAAGTGCTGAGACAATCGGCGCTCTCAAAAATTCCTGCTAGTAGTAGTCACCCGTTCAGCTCCAGCTCCTGCTCTGACTCCTACGGGCTCGCCTGCTCTAACCCACACGATCCCCTTCCTCTCCCAAAGCTGGGATTGAACCCAGGAATCCTGACACCTGTCCTTGTTTGCCCCTCCCCCTCGCCATCCGGCTGCCCTCTCTGCTCCTACGAAGGTGAATGTCTGGGAGAATAGCCTCTTTCCAGGGAGGAGGGGCAGGATGCTGTGGATATGTGATATGGCTGGCAGCAAGGCAGCTCTCTGCAGCCTTGATGCAGCATTGTGGGTCCTACTCAGTCTCTCTGCAGTGTCCAGGTCTGTGTACTGCAGAGGCTTGTCACAGTCCAGTGGAACAGGAGCTGGCTTGGAGCTGATGTCCCGTAGGAGAGAGGGCACTGACTGTCCCTTCTCAATGTCACCAGGTCTCCACGATGGCGTGAGGTCCAGCTCAAATAGCCGGAGTGGCAGGCCTGACCCGGCGGGGGCCCAGCCATGACCGGCATGATGATCACACGGACACATCAGACAGCGAGTCCCTGTCCCTGCAGGTCCGCAGGATCAACCAGCAGCCCCAGGTCCGCAAGCCGGGGGAGCGAGGCTATGACTCCAACAGGTAACTCAGGGCCTGGTGGACCAGGGCCCCAGCCTTGAGGTTCGGAAGGATGTGACCTGGTTTAGGTCATGCAGGGAGAATGGGAAGAAGTGGGGCTTAAGCCCAGGACTCCTCACCCCCAGCCTTCCCCCTGGCTTACTAGACCTCACTCCCTTCCTAGAGCTGAGAAGAAAACCCAGTAGTTCTGGTTCCCAGCCCCCACCCTATTGCTAATCTTGGTAGGTTCAATAGGACGCATGTGATTGAGGTTGGCTCAGGTCTGTCCCCTTCCAAGACCGTGATGGATCTGCTGTTGGATGGTGGGGTGTGATTTCCTCTGCTTCTCTGCCTGTCTGAAGGGTTGAAGGGCATTGGAAGAAGCTCCATCCTCCTTGTCTAAGGCAAAGCCTCTAGACAGGGGGGTCTGCGCATCCCTGACTGAGCTTGGATCACTTGGCAGTTTGTACCGGCCATGGAGTGGACTCTGGCCAGCTGGGGAGAGGGCTCCCATTTGGAGTGGGGTTGGATTGGCTCCATTCACAATCCACAAGCGGTGCCTCTTCTATTCCTTGCCCCTTGAGCTATGTTTTTCTTCTTGTTTGAGCAGGGTCAGAGCTGGGACCAACTCCATGGGGAGGACCCTCAAGCTGCCTTTCCTGCCCCCCTCCCCCTAGTCAGCCAGTTCCTCTGTTCATCCATAAGTAAAACCATTTAGCTGAGGGACCCTTCTCAGATTTGCAGCCAAAGTCAGCCTAGATTTGGATCCAGAAGGGAGACTTGGATTGCGATACGGGTTGAGCTTGAAAGCTTCGGCAGAGGAAATAACCATATCTGCTTGGGGTTTCCCAGTCTCCTCATGCCCTATTGGTTTCTTTTCCTGCCCCCACCCCCTCTCCCTCCCCCAATCAGGTACCGCATACACTTTGAGCGAGAGAGTCGTGAGGAGGTAGAACGGCGGAAGAAGGTGGCACAGGAAAAGATCCTGGAGCCCGTCCCGGAGACTAGCCTGGAGCTGGACATCGAGGACATCTACAAATCTGGTTCTGGTGAGCAAAGGCCCAGGGCACTGCACGGAGGATCGGGATGTTGTCTGGAGGGGCAGGAACTACTGGGACTCTGCTAAATCACCCCTTATCAGACAGATCTTGTGGCTGGTCTGTGCCACAGCCTGCTTTCTCCTGGTGGCCTCTGCTGCTTTCCAAAGAAATGAATCTCAGCTGCTTGGATCCATCCTGCTGAGATGTGGCCACCTCTAGTCTAGAGTGAAATGTGTCCCAGCAGGGAACTTTGCAGGAGTTGGATTCCTTGTTCCTCTTGGAAGCTGCCGTTCCCCAGGGGCTGCTGCTGCAAGTTCAGCTCCCTTCTAAGCTTTCCAAGTAGCATTTCCCAGGGGAGGAGCTTTGTTGCTTGAAGCTAGTCCGAGATCCAGGGAGATAGCTGCTCTCTGGATCTCCCTGCTGCAGGAAATTAGTGGGACCATGGGGATCCCTTTGTACTTATGTCTTCCGTTCTCCATCTCTTTTCTCTTCTCATTCCTTTTTTCTTGCCTGTCTCCTCTCCCCCAGTACTAGATTTCCCCAAGCGCCCCCCCTGGAACTACCAAATGACCAAGGAGCAGCTCCTGGCACGGGAGGAGAAGTGTTTCCGGGATTATCTGGAGGGAATTTACAGCACCTACCAGCCCAGCCAGCTCAGCTACTTTGAGCACAACCTGGAGGTGAGGGGATGCAGGGCCCAGTCTGTCCCCAAGTGAGGGGAGGCTGGATTGGTTTATGTGGGTTGAGAAAGGGATACAAGGACCTTGGCCTTCCAGGGGGTGGGATTACAGGTTCTGATCTGATACCAGGTCAGGAGGATGGGGGCAAATTGACTGCACTAGGGAATGGGAGTGGGAATTGAGCATTCTTGTGTTTTTTCACAATGCAATTTTCTCTTGCAGACATGGCGCCAGCTGTGGCGGGTACTGGAGATGTCAGACATTGTCCTCCTTATCACGGACATCCGGCATCCAGTAAGGGGTCCCTTTCCTCCTTTGTGTGGAGGGCAGAGGAGCCATCCTCAGATATAGTTTGGGAGCAGGGGGTAGTTGTAGGGGGCCAAGGCCACAGAGGCAGCCTAGAAGGCGGAGCAGAGAAGCCCTGGCCTGGGACAGCCTGCGTGAGATCTAGGGGCGGGGGCCAGGACTTCTGGGTTTCCTCCCCAGTTCTGGGAAGGAAATGAAGAGCCCCATAGCAATTTGATGTCTTCCTTGCTCTTGCTCCTATCTGTTGGTCAGCATCCCTGCTGAGCTCAGTTTTCTTCCTGTGAGTCCAGGCGGGAGGGACGATGTTGGCAGGGGTTCAACTGTGATCCATCTGCATGTGCCTAGGGTCCCTGTGCCCTCCCTTCACTGCCTTACCATAGAGCACCTGCCTGAACATAGCACAGCAGCTGCCATCCCAGCTGCTTCTTGGGTGTGAGGAAACATGGATGGGAATTGGGATTTCCGCTGAGCCCACCACTAGAAGCCTTCCCTGCCCCTATGTGCTGGGAAGGTTCCCACAAGATGCCTTCAGTCAGGGATGCAACGATGAGGGAAGGAAAGAAATCATTTTTGGTTATTGACTGCAACGTAACCTGGAAAACACGACTTTTGGTTTAGGCCCCTTCTCGTCCCCACTCTGCTCCCCAAGCGGGAATCCTTCCTGCCTGCTCTAACACTCTCATCTCTCTCCCACCAGGTCATTAACTTCTCCCCTGTGCTGTATAATTTTGTGACCAAGGAGATGAAGAAGCACCTGGTCCTGGTGCTGAACAAGATTGACCTGGCACCACCAGCACTGGTGGTAGCCTGGAAGCACTACTTCACGGCCTGTTTCCCTGAGGTGCACGTGGTCTGCTTCACCTCCTACCCCCAACATGACCAGGACCCAAGTGCTGGTAATGCTTCCCCTGTTGAGGGGCCAGCTCTCACCCAGCCCTAGGTGGGGGATTGACTTAAGTGGGAGGAGGAGGGAGTACGGGACTAAGGTGGTTCCTGCATAGTTCCAGATCAGTGGGGGTGGGAGGTAGGGCCTGGACCTCATCTGCTTCAGGGGCAGGTTCTTTAGGGGCCTCTATGCAGGCCTAGAGGTGGGAGCTGGATGTTTTGAAGGGACATCACAAAATGTTACTACTGAGCTGCAAATGAAAACTGGAACCCAGGAGTTCTGGCTGCCACTGCCACCCCCTGCTCTGACCAGTTAGACCCCATTTTTCCCCTCTGAGCTGGGAATAGAGCCCAGGAGTCTTGATCCTGGCTTCTTCCTTTGTATCTACCAGTGTTTAAGAAGCGGCGAAAACGGCGAAAAGCCTGGAGCACTGCCATGGGACCAGCACAGCTGCTGTCAGCCTGTGAGACTATCACTGCTGGGAAAGGTAACACCGCCCCCCCCCCGCACGTGCACGCACACATGCACACACACTTCCTCTCCACTCTCAGCTTGGGTGCCATGGGGGACCATTTATGTTCCAGAGTGTTAGAGCACTTCCTGGGTTGTAGACACCAGGATAGTTTTTTCTGGTACTGAAATGTAGTTGTTCTTGGGGCATGGAGCACAGCACAATAATGCTACAGAGGGAAGCAGTTTGGTGACACCTGAGCTATTAAAACTTGGAATGTTGAATGAATGCAATGTTTATAAAGCCTACCTATAAAGAAGATTATATGAAGAGGAAACTGAATTGGCATTTGCTTAAGACATCACAGTGGTTCACCTGCAATTCCAACTCATGCCCTACACCACTTTTTAATACACTTTGAGGAACAATATTGACTTGGGAAGAAAGACCCTTAGTGAGTCTCCCCTGGTGTCCCTCTGGCCCCTGGTGCCTCGTTGGGGTTTCTGGAGAGTGCCCCATACTGTGTGGTTTCCCACCCAGAGTCTGATTGAATCCAGGCCTGATTAGTTTTCCCACCTCTGCTTGCAACCATATGGCATGTGCTTCTGATTCATCAGGTGTCTCTACATCTTTTGGCTCTCTAGTGGACCTGAGTAGCTGGAAGGAGAAGATTGAACGGGATGCAGTGAGTGCCTGCCTGCCTGCAGAGGACTCCGATGAAGAAGAGGAGGAGGATGAGGGGGCAGCTGTGGTAGTGGAGCACCAGACTGACGTGGCCATGGAGGCTGGGGCCCCTTGTGAGGAACTATACAAAGATGGTGTCCTGACTGTGGGCTGTGTTGGTAAGAGTTGGTGTGGAGGGGGAAAGGTCTGAACCCTTAATGTATTGCCTGGTAGGCTGGGGGCAGTGCTAGGAATTTGTGATAGCAGGTGTTGGGCTGATTTGGAGTACAGAGGGAAGGCTGGGAGGAAGGGGCCTCTGGTTTGGGAGGTAAAGGAGGGAGCAGGATCTAAAAGAGGGCTTAGGGGGCAGGTGTCTGAGCAAGCTGCTGGGACATTGTTTGCGGGGGTCCATGTTGTAGTGAGGCAGAGCTCAGCTTGAGGAGTGGAGAGGTATGGACAGGTTGCCTGGGCTTCAGTTGCCAGGTACGAAATGGGGGTTGGAGAAAAAGGCATCTGAACAGTCAGGTTGGAGGGGATGTGTTGCTGGAATGGAATTTGGGGGCTCTGTGTGGAGGGGGTGTCTGGACAGCCAGGGTGGAAGAAATGACTGCTTGTTATAGGTTACAGTACAGTGGGGCTTGGTGGGTCAAGGACAAAGTGTTGTCTGGGCTGCATTGAAGTTGGGGAGGTAGAGAAGAAAATTCCTGTGTGATTGGTTGCGTCTGAGCAAAGGAGTGATGGGTGGGCAGGGGGACTAAGCTGAGCTTTGGGGCAAAGGAGGCCAGCTGGTGATTTGGGGAATGTCTGGCCAGATATTGGGTAGGTTAGGGTCTGGGGTGACCGAGACACCTGGGCAAGGTCTTAGCAGTTGCTGGGGGAGTCTATGTAGAGGATAACAGCAGGGTCTGGTCAGCAGGAGGCTTTGAGGAAATGAGGTGTGAGAAGGCAGGATAGTCTGTGGTGGAAGGAATTGGAGGGCAGGGCTTATGGAAAGGGTAAGTTTTAGCTGAGGGGATGTGGGGTCTTGGGGTTGCCCAGGGTTTCTGACTTGCCCCCTCCTCTCACAGGTTTCCCCAACGTGGGGAAGTCTTCACTGATGAACGGGCTGGTGGGGCGCAAGGTGGTGAGTGTGTCACGGACGCCCGGGCACACCAAGTACTTTCAGACCTACTTCCTCACCCCCACTGTGCGGCTTTGTGACTGCCCTGGCCTTATCTTCCCCTCCCTGGTGGACAGGCAGCTTCAGGTACTGCCCCACAAGTGGTGGGGGAAGGGAAGGAGGCCTAGCAGGTTAGAGTGGCCCTAGCAGCCTGGACTGCTGGGTTCAGTGCCCAACCCTGGAGATGATAGAGGGGTCTGTGGATTGGAGCATAGGGTGTTGGGAGCCTAGTGTCTATCATTTGCACTGATGGGGGTGGGGTCTAATGAGTTTAAGTTAGTTGTGTGCGAGGGGACTGGGAGTCGGGACTTCAGGCCCATTTTTCTCTCTACCTCAGTTTCCCTTGTAACTCTATTACAGGTATAATAGTCCCCACAGCAAGGGGATTACTGGTATGAGTCGTGCCTCATGGTGTTGTCTGTCCTGGCGGGTACTGGCATAACAGTACCCAGTTGACGGGTACTGGCATAACATCCAGGCTTCCTGCCATAGTTGACCATTGCTAACCCTTTCTTGCTGCAGATCCTCTCTGGCATCTACCCCATCTCCCAAATCCAGGACCCTTACACTGCAGTAGGTTACCTGGCTGCCCGCATCCCCATCCAGACCCTGCTCAAACTGCGCCACCCGGATTGTGAGGGTAATCAACTCAAGACCCAGTGGTGTGCATGGGACATCTGTGAAGGTAAGACAATCTGCACGGGTGTGGTGGTGGCATGAGGGGGCACTGTGCTGCAGGCAGTGAGGAGCCCTTTTCTCTTGCGGTCTGTGATGGCAACGCTGACAGGGTGCAGCGCTGGGGAGGGGGATGAGGCAGCAGAAGAATTGGGTGGGGGACACGCAACTTGCTGGGAACTCTGACCTCCTTGTATTCTTCCCAGCTTGGGCTGAGAAGCGTGGCTACAAGACAGCCAAGGCAGCACGTAATGACGTGTACCGAGCTGCCAACAGCATCCTGCGTCTGGCAGCAGATGGACGTCTCTGCCTCTGCCTGCGGCCCCCAGGCTACTCCACTCAGAAAGGTAGGAGACCACCAGAGTGATGCAGGGGGGAGAGAGATATCACTCCCATGGCATTGTGGGAATTTATCCAGCATTCCTCTATGATGGGGTCAGCAACTTTATCCAGCTCCACCCCCCTGCTCAAAGCAGAACCATCTCCAGTTAGATCATCCCAGCCAAGGCTTTGTTTGGCTGGGTCTTAAAAGCCCCCAAGGACGAAGACTTCAAAACCTCTCTGGGTAGCCTGTTCCAGTGCTTTACTAACCCAGCTTGGGTCTGGCGTGAGTGGGTACTAGGATCAGGCCTCCTCCACTTTTCCTGGCTGCAGCTATCTCCAATGAAGCCTGTGGCCAGAGCTCCCCAGGCACCTGGTTGTGGCATGGCATGGACAGAGTCCTCCACTGCTGACTGCAACCAAAGCCACTCTGTGGGTGGATCCACAGGCTCCATGAGCTAGTGCTGCCCACAGGCCCCAGGTTGCTGACCCCTGCTCTTTAACGATGGACAGGGGAAAGGACATCGATGTAGTGCCAAGTTGCCTTTGAGCCAAAGGGAGGGGCTTTTGAGGAATCAGTCTGTGGCAGGTCAACAGAACATTGCACACCTCCAACGGCACTGTGGGTTTAGAGAGTAACTTCTATTAGATATTATTTCCATTACAGTGGCTAATTTTAAAATGCTTCCCTCTTCTCGTCTGTGAAGAGCATTTAATTTACAAGCATTTAATTTATTGCATACAAGAGAGGCTTTTTCTTCCTATGGTGTTTGTTTTCAGTACATTTTGTTTGTATTAGACTGATGTCCTAAACGCAGTTCAGTGGCTAGCTGTTTGTGTTACCAGCTAATGTTGTGCCTGCTGGGTTTTAGTGAGGATGCAGGTACTAGTCATAACCAGAATACCAGGCAGAATAGGAACCCAGGGCTAGAACAGGGAAGTCCAGCGAGTGGGAGGGCCTCCGGTCCTGTCTGTCTGTCTGTCTGTCTGTCTGTCTCCTCTGCCTGCTATGCTGTGTAGTCCATCCACCTGCAACGCTGCTCACTCTGGCATGTGCAACCCCCCTCTTTTGCTGTGCTGTGCCATGTGCTTCCCCACTCCACTGCATACGCCATCCCCCAACACTCCTTCCCTACTGCACTGTGCGGCATTGCCATTGTTGCGCCATGTGTGGTCCATGGGTTTCCCCAAGTCCTCCAGCCACAGGTTTCCTCCACTCTGAACTGTAGCACTCCAGCCCTCCTGGTCTCCAGTGGTAGCAGTTGCAGAGTGATGGAGGGAACGGTATCTGGACTGGGACCTGGGGGTCACTGGGCCAGATGTGGCCTGTGGGCACCCAGTTAGACAGCCCTGGACTAAAAGATGAAGCCAGACACATTCATATGAAAAGTCACAAAAATGTAACAGTGAAGGTGATTGACCATTGGAAGAAACTCCCATGGAAAGGAACAGATTCTGTGTTCTCTGCTGAATTTATGCATAGGGCTGAGAATAGAATCCAGGAGTCCTGACTTTGTGATGCTATTGGTGTGGATATAATTATACAACTAATCTTTGCTTATGTTCTACCAATTTACAGTTGTTTGTAGCTGGATTCCATTACCAGGCTGAGAGAGGCTCTTGTAAATTAGAACAGAAGTCAGGCTTCCTGGGTTTTATTTTCACTTCTGGGAAGCTAGCAGTCAGAGCTGATCATGCTGCTGTCTGATAATTAGTATATATTTTTTATAATTTATAATTCTAATAATAATAGTAGGATTATCATTTTAAACTCCCTAATGAATGAATTAAAATGATTTTAATAGCATTAAAGATTGTTAATACTGTAACAAACATACATGGGATTTATGCAGAGAGAGAAGCTATATGTAAATTCAGTTTCTGTTAATGAGCAGAAATTACACGTACATTATGAGGAGTATAGTCTTTACTCAGCATGAAGCTAATAATATACATTCTTTTTTGTAGGAGGAGCAATAGCACTCCTTTGTAACTAAAGAGTAACAAATGCATCTAAGCAGTACAATTATGTACAGTATTTAAATCCTATTAGAAAGAGCACACAGGTTGTAATTTATTATTTTCACTGCATCACAAAACTTGCATTCCCACTGGCGGTTGGGACTGGGGATGCATGGTTTAGGTGGTGTGGAGTGCTGCGGCTGGGAGTCTGGACTCTCTGGGGTTCTGTTGCCAGCTCCAGAAGGGGAGTGGAGTCCAGTGAGTTAGAGCAGTGGGTCTGGGAGCCAGGAGGCCCATCTCTGTCTGTCCCCACAGCCACCTGGGAGCAGCACCCTGAAACAGCAGAGATCAGTGCCCTGCAGAAGGCACATCACAGCAATGGCCAACACAGCTCTGGTGAGGAAGAGGAGGAGGAAGAGGAGATCTCCAGCTCTGGGGAAGAGGAGGATGAGGAGAAGGACCGGGATGCTGATGAAGAGGAAGAGGAGGAGGATCCAGCTGTCCCCAGTGGAGTTAGGACCAGCACCCCAGGCCAGCCTCAGCCCAGGAAGGTGCCTAAGGCAAAACTCGCCTCCAGAAATGCCTTTGCTTTGTTGGGAGAGGACGAGTGTTAGTGGCTCTCCCTAACGCTGGACACATTGAGAAATGGGGAGGAGGCTGGGCCCAGCCCCAGCCCCACAGTCATTCCCGTGTTATATAGCCACTGTGTATATGAATAAAGGTGACATTTATTTCCAGACCCTGCCTCCCTTGCTGGCTGGGATGTAGCAGCCTTCTCCCTGGTCCTCGGGTCATCCCAGCCCAGTGTCCCATGCTGCAGCAGACCTCTCTGGAGGAGACTGTTGGTCTTGCCTAGCTCAGAATTTCTGCTGTCCTGGCAGGACTCGCCCAGCCTGATGTCCTGCCTCCCTGGATGAGTAGTCCAGTACTCTGCCCCTGCTCATGGCTGCTGAGGACACAGAACTCCATGAGCATTGATGAGCAGGTACTTGCCTGTGCACTTGTCCATCCCCACGTGCTGGCACTAGGATGTTGCTCATGGAGAGTGGGGCT